TTATGCACGTGTAAAGTGTTGTCCCCTTGTGCATTCCATGATGACTGTTGCTATCAGTGCTCTAGCAAGGAAAAGGAATCTGAGCGCCATGGTGCAATAGCCTTGCTAACACTTAACGGTATTATCAGTGCGTGTGAGATCTGAGTGGTTATTACCAACTATATTAATATCCCCCCCCCCCTCTTCTGTTTATTAAGGCCCCTACATTATATATAGTTTGGGGAGTAGGGTTTCGTACTAGGTAGGCTTCGGGGGAGGCTTTAGGCTGTCGGGTTCCGGTTTCTGAGCGGTTTGTGGGGCAAGCAGGGGGCGTTGGGTTAGGGGCTGACTTAGAAGAGGGTTTGGGGTGTATTCGGGTATAAAGAAGTCTGTGGGGACGGATGCATGAATTGGGGGCTTCATGAACCCTAAACCTTAAATCCTAACCCCCAAACTTTATAATCGCTGAACAGCAACGTTTACAGGAGCAAGAGTCAGAAGACTGAAGAGATCCGCACAATCCTGAGAGAGCTAGCTGCATCCGTTTTTCTCGGCGGGCTGACTCATGTGGACACGTACATGGCAGATGCTCTCGCACACGGGGAACACCAACTCTCGATCACTGCACGGGAGAAGATGGAATCTTGAGTTGTGGAAACTGCCTTTTTGGCTGTGCTACGTCGGGATGCGGCCCATCTGGCCGTATGGCTCCGTTTGGAAGCCGCAGGGCACACAGAAGACGGGCCGGGGAATCTTGTACTCAGGCTGCAACGCAGCGCTAGAAAGTTCAGTCATTACGCAGCGAGACAATTGGTCACCCAGGACGCAACCGTCGTCTTGCAGAATACGGCTCGAGTTTCTTGCCTGCTTCTCTGTTATGCTGATCAACTCCTGCAGCGCCCTTGTTCTGAGCTGGGGCCGTCACCGCTTAATTATGCAATTTGGCCATGCCTGCCGAAAGCGATGTATACAGCATTGCGGAACTGTGGCTGTCAAAGTCACGAGCATGGTTAAACAAACTTTAAACCCTAAACCCTAAACCTTAAACCCTAAATCCTGCACCTTACGCCCTAAACCTTCAACCTTGAACAAACCTTAAACCCTAAACCCTATGGACCTTAACACTTAACTCCGAAGCCCACAGGCCTGAACCCTTAAACTCAGGTGCTCCGAAAGCTCTGGGTGGGATGAAGCATCCCTTACATAAGGACCTAGGGTTGCAGAGTTTAGGATGTAGGGCGAACAGGGCTTGGGGTTGATGGTATAAATCCTGCATTACTTTAAGGACCCTAAACTACAGGGGTTATGGTATATTCCTGATTATGGGTACCCTAAACCCTAGACCCTAAACCGTGGTAATGCAGGTTTTAGATCATCTATCGTAAAGAGTATTGCCTGCCCCGTGCACAGGCCTGGCCTTCGGCACTTTGTTAGCTTGCGCCTGGCACCCAGCTGTTCTTTTGAGGGTTAGGTTGTATGGATCGTGGGGTTTACTATGGGGGCTCGTTGCTTTTTTGTTTAGGGTTTTGGGTTTAAGGTTGTAGGGGCCTCGGGTTTAGGGTTTCGGGCTAGGGTTTTATGGTTCAGGGCTTCAGGCTCTTAGGGTTTCAGGTTTTTCCGACGTCATCCTACGGTCTGGGTGGTTGGCTTACGCACTGTATCGGGTCCAGCGTGTAGGGAAAAGTTTTTGTTGCGCTGATTGTGCTTGTCGGTTTGATACCACACTGGCACACATCCTAACGCCTGGAGCCTAAGTACCAAAACTAAATCCGAAACCCTATAACTCCTATTGGGACTTCAGGGTATGTGCTAAAAGCCCGAAACATCGTCCGCAGCGGCTCGAATCCAGCAGTGTCCCCGATCTCCTTCGAGAAGGTGGGCCTGAGCCATCGTCGTTTAGGGTGGCAATTTTTGACAGCATCGAGGCATTTCGGCTTTCCAGGATTTGTAGTGTTTTGGGCATGTACCTTGCTGAATTTTCGACTTGTGGCCCTGCCACTACCCTTTAGGGCTTATAGGGTTGAGGATTTTTCGGCTCATCTGTCGGAGTTTGCTGTTTAGGGCCTTCTGAAGTTGTTTGGCGGGAGACGGCTGCGGCGTCCCAGAGCTTGCTTCGGAAATGGCCACCTGCGCGGCGACACCGTCAACACCAACTCGCCGCCCGCAGCTCTCATTGAATGAGGAGGTTCTGCAGGCCCGACAGCAGATCTGGGGTTCAGCTAAAGGCCAAGACGTGCAGTTCCGACTTGGGGCATCGTTGTGTCTTCGGCCTTTTTCGGTCAAGGATTTGTGGTTTAGGGTTTAGGGTTTAGGGTTTAGGGTTTAGGGTTTAGGGTTTAGGGTTTAGGTTGAATGACTTTGGGGCTGAGGTAGCTGCAGGGTATGATTGGCTTTGCCAACATGCCACAATCGACCACTTAGTCAGTAGTTCGCTGCCCTCAGAAGGAATGGAATACTGGCGGATCTATAGGTGAATCTAGGTGAACATGGAAGAGCATGTGTTCTGCAGATTCCCCTATCTCCAGCTTTGTGTGAACACTTCGGCGGCTGTTTGAGTGTCAGGAACTGCCGGGCTTTTGGTTCTGGGATTCTTGCAAGCAACTTAGCCCAAGGGTCCAAGCATCCCCCCCATTTTAAACTCCCAAGACCCTGTAGACCCAAAGCCAAAAGCCCAAAACCCAATTTTTGGGTCCTGCCTGGATTCGGCAAGTAATTCTTGAACCCTTCTTGTTGTTCCTGCCGGGGAGGCGGCGCCTGGTGAGGTTTTCTGCGCAGGGCATACGCCAGAGCCTCATAGCGTTGACACCTGGGTAGCTCTCGAAATGTGGGTCCCTTCTAGGGTCCATTTTATAAGGGTGCCGTACTATATTGGCGACCCCCGAAATGTAGAGAACTACCCATACAAACCCTGTACCCCCTAATTTAGAGAGCTACCCACATAAACCCTGTACCTTCTGCATGGCTGGCAGTGGTTGAGTGCATGCAAGCAGGCTTTGCAGGGATGGGAGGTTTAACTGTTAACTGTTGGGTTTAAGTTGCGGGGTGCAGGACTAGATATCTGGAAGCGGGATCCTAACTCTAAGCCACAAGCCCTCAAACCCCTTAATGAGGCTTCACACGATATCAACATCAGTCAGGGCTTACACTTGATGTAGAAGCCTGACTGAATCCAAGGGTTCCCTGTCAAAGGTATATCATAATACCTATAGTCTCCATTGTTGTCGCTTTTTGGGGATGCCTTATAAAATCCTTAATATATGAATTGGTTAAACCAGAAACAGGAACTACAATGGAGACTACAGGTATACCACAAATCTTATTCCCATTATAAGGGCTCCGATATTACCTCTTGGGGGGCTGGGTTCCTTGAGTCTCCCAGCATAGCTGCGAACCTGACGGTCCTCCAGATACTCTGGAACCCAGAGATCGACTTGTTGGAGTTCCGCGAGTAAGGTGGCTCTTGCAGTTTAAGTTAGTATATGTATAAACACATACATGGGAGTTTCCGACAATTAGGGTACCTTATTTTGGGGTCCTTATAATAAGGATCCTACTAGTTAGGGTTCTATAGTAGGGTCCCCTATTCTCGGAAACTCCCACATAGAGACATACACTGTGCATCTATCTGTACACGAACAAACAAATAGATAAATGTTTGTCAGTCTTTCTATTGGTTCTCTGGTAGAGCTCAAACTCTAGCTCGGAGGCGCTCATTACAAGCTGTGCCACGCTTCCAATATCTTGAGCCATACGGTAAGAGCTGGGGGATAGGCTCTATGTTAAATGTTTGTTTGCTTGCACTCACGATCGGGGCTACATGAAGACTCCGCGCAGTATCCGGTTCCCGAAACGATCAAGCATGAATGACTGCGCAAGTCAAGTAGGGGTCTGAACAACCAGTCATCATTCATCATTGTAGTTCGGTTCCATGTATGTACACTTTAAAGATGCCCCAATAGTCTCTTTCGAGTTCATGACGCCACCGTAGTACACCCCAGCAAAAAGCCGTGGAATCCATGAAACCCTAAAACGCCCAACAGCAGCTCACGATAGGACACCGGCCAATCACGTCCGCCCTAACCTGGGCCTCAGCGTGTGGACAGGCACTCAGGGCTGCTCGGTTTAGGGCTTAGGGTTTAGGGGTTTAGGCTTAGGGTTTAGGGTTTAGGGGTTTAGGGTTTAGGGTTTAATCTTCGGGGTATACCTGGACCCCAAAAGTATGTAGAATACTGACCTTTTACAGGTGTTGGGCCATCATGTTGCCCACTTTCGGAGGTTTAGGTGGGTTTTAGGGCTGAAGGCTTAGAGTCAACGTGGCTACATAGGTTACGGGACTGTGGTTCTGCATCGATGCGGAGCAGCCTTTGGACCTGAATGCAGAGGTCAGCATGGTCCCAAAAGCAACACTAAACCACAAACCCTGCACCCTCATCCCTGAACCTTATACAGGCATGCTTAGGTCCATTGTTATGGGGTTCTTCAGATTTTCGGTTCGGGATTCAAATTCGTCAGGCTTTTCAGTTTGAGATTCAGGTTTCAAGTCAAGTGTAGTGTAGCGTCTAGGAAAGAAGAGCATGGAGAGCTTGAAGTTCAGTGTTCACACCAAGGCTTAAACTTGCCGATACAGTCTATTAGGAATCATGGTCCTTAGGCCTAGCCTGCATCACGACCCCTGACCCTCCAACTACAAGGGTTTGGGTTTAGGGTTTAGGGTTTAGGGTTTAGGGTTTAGAGTTTAGGGTTCGTTTCAGGTTCCATGTGCCCTCGAAGGGGTTGGTGCACAGGAATTTTTAGGCGAAAATCGACAATGCTGCATTGGTAGACAGGCTCTTGGGGCAAAAGAAAGGAGCCAAACTATAGTTTGCAGTTTGAAGTTCCGGTCCAGCAAGTAAGTCTTGAGGATTTCGCGCGGCCCTAGCGCTCCCCACTACTAATTAAGCACCCGCGAGTGCAGAGAATAACATAAGACACCCTTCCAGTCGCTTTTAAGAGGGCCGGGCCAAGAGCAAATGGAATCTTTAACCGATGCAATGTACCCAGGGGCTCCAATGTAGTTCCTTTTTGGGTCTGTTATGGTTTTTTGGTAAGGAATTATAGTATACTATTCACAAAAGGAACTACATAGGAGCCCCTGCATTGGTTGCAGCTTTCCGGATCTTGATTTCAGGCTGGCTTCATTGTTTTATTGGGTGGGGGATGTTAAGCTAGGCCTGCAGTTCCAAGTCTCGTGCTTACCCGCCAGGCTTCCTCCTAAACTTCTAAACACCACATGATGCGTTGGGCGCTATGAATCTCAATCTTAATCCGGTCCACAACCCGCTCCGGCAGAAGGCACACCGAGTTTCCGTGGTAGCGGCGTAGCCAGCCACGCCGTGGCCGCTTGGTGCGAGGTTTAAAGTGTCATTTTCATGCCCTGTAAAGGAGGGTTCAGTATAGGATTCTTACGGGCTTTATTACAGCAGCGTGTTAAGCGCACGGTTAAGAGGTAAGGATTACTGTTGCAATTGAGGGCTAGTTGCTGTTGGAGAGGTTTCGCAGTCACTGTTAACCCTTATCATGAAATCCCTCCGTTTACATTCCAAGGCTGCATGTAAAACCTGAGCCCTAAACTTTCCCCAACCTCCTGAACTTCTGTGAACCTTAAACCCTAAGCCCAAAACCCAAAACGCAACCGTTAAGTTTCAGGTCCGTCCCACACCCTGAGGCTCAAACCTGCAGCCTATGCTCTGAGCTATAAGCCACAATGCAGTCACGACGCCTGCACAACTCATAAATCCCTCCATCCATCACTGCCCTAAACCCTGAACCCTAAGCCCTAAACCCTAAACCCTAAACCCGAAACCCTTGACCCTCAACCCCAAACCACCCGAAAGGTCATGCAGCCGACCGTCGCTCGCGCGGCCACGGCAGAGCCTTCTTCGCGCCCGGTGCCTTCGCAGCCGACTTTTTGGGGTTCTAGGAGGGGCTTAACCCTGAGGGTCCAAAGGACCCAATAATCGGGTACTTTGGTTACGGATAGTAGTAATCCAGCTCAATATCTGGGAGAGTATATGATTATTAGGTACTTGGACCCTTAGGGTAAGGGGTTTAGTTGTTTTGACCAAAAACTACGTAAACCCCTTACTTAAGCCCCTCCTAGAACCCCCTTGAGTGGGGAGGGAGGGGAGGGTTTACGGTGTGGGTTTCAGAAGGGAATCTTGTGTGGTTTTCGATGGGCTTTGGGGGGTTTGAACAGGATTCCGGGGTCCCACGGAGAAGTCGTACATGCGGCTTTCAAGGTTTAGGGCTTTTTCAGGGCTTTGGTAGGGGTTGAGAGTAGGGCCCGAATATAGAAGCCTATATAATTACCAATATTACTGTTAGGGCTCCTTATTCTAAATATATATGTATATATATATATATATATACTATACAGGAGCCCAAAGCCTTATTTTAATTATTAAGGCCCCTGCCTTTCAAGGGCTTAGCGGAGAGTCGACAGTTCTGGGGCCGGCGTAGGGCCTAGGGTGTGGCCGAATTTGCTGGGTTGTTCTGTTGAGCGCCGAAATAATACCCTAGACTTCTGGACTAAACCCTAAACCCTAGACCCTAAACCCTAAACCCCGCAAACCCAAAACTGAATTGGGGGGTGGTCACAACCTGATACACTTTGGGGGGGAGATTTCGGCTGTGGGTTCCAAGACTTTTCATGGGGCTATAAGTATAATCTGAGTCTGCGGCGTGTTTTTTGCAGAAGTCGCTCGTTGTGGCCAGGGGATCTCATGTTGCATGTTTAGGGTTCCCTACTAACCCGTGCCAGTTGAGGTTAAACAGGTTTCTTGTTCGGAGGTGAAGTGTTTGGTGCAGTGTGGGCGGCTCATTTGTGTAGACTCCTCCTGGATGAACCAGCTGCCTTAAAGTTATAGGCCCACAACCCTAATGCAGGGTGTAGGGTAGGGTTACAAGGTTTTTGGGTTCAGGAATTTACACCTAAACCCTAAACCCTAAATACTAAACCCTAAACCCTGAACCCTACACACCCTAAAATTACGATTTCCTTGCCTTTTTTTTGCTGAGGAATTGAGTGTGGCCACCTCGGACCGTGAGCCGACGCCTCCTGTTCTTCCGTCGCCTACAAATGTCACTTGTCGCAGTGGTGCTTAAGGTTTAGGGTTTAGGGGTTTAGGGTTCAGGGGTCAGGATTCAATGTAGGGTTTTGGATGGATTTGGGGTTTAGGGGTTGTGGGTTAAGGGTTTGACTTGAGGGTTTGGGGCTTAGCCCCATGGGGCAATTATGATCCCTGGTAGGTGGTTGTGGTGTTATGTATGCACTGTAAGATTTCAGGAGGTTCTACTGGACAGTAGCCCACCATCATAGGTAACTGGGCTAGTGGGACCTTTATCCTTGGGTGGGAATATAAATCCCACAAGTTCACCTTCCTTTAGTTCCCCTCAGAAGTGGGACGTTAAGTCCATCAGCGATGTACCCAGAGACACTCCAGGCACACCCTGAGTCCTAAACCCCTCAAACCCTAAAGCGAATCGAGGGCCCTACTATGGTTTGACCAGAACTTCAGGGTTCGAAGGAATTAGAAGTAACATGCCCTTGTTATAGTTCGTGTATAACTGTACAATGACACTACGTAAGGATATATGATGTAGCCCAGTACACCATTCTAGTCATTCAGATTCCTGCAGTATACTGGAATCAAACCGTTTTAGACTCGACTCGAAAGTGGGCAGTTCACCAGATCAGCTTTGATAAACAGCCCACCTTGACCCAATCAAAGCTTACCCTTGTATACGGCTCTGAAAGTACGCGGAAGGGTTGCGGAGGATCCAACTATTCCAGATGCTTGGGGGGGGGGGTGTGGTCTAAACAGCAAAGCTTGAAACCCTAAACCCTAGCCCAAGAATCCCAAACCCTCAATGACTCAAGGCACAGCGTCAGCCCATGATGGCCCGAAGTAGCCGCGCCTTGCCTTCAACCACAAATAGAGCAAAGGTTAGGGTTTAGGGTCGATAAATAGGGCTAGTAGGGTTTAGGGTTTATGTCTTTGGGATTCACATACAACCGTAACCGCAAGCCGCTAAAGCTGAAACCCTGAGACCCCGCGAGAGGTATAGTTCACTTGAGTATTGTCACCCTAACCATAAACCCTAAACCCTAAACCCCAAGCCCTAAACCCTAAACCCTGAACCCTAAACCCTAAACCCCGTAATGCTAGTTGCTGCTGACCCCCAGAGCTTCGTAGAAGACATTTGAACTGCTACGGAGCTTTGTTCAAAGAGTCTTATGGGATCCATTGTTTAGGGTTTGGGGTTTAGGGTTACAGTGGGAGGGGGGGGTCTGAAAATTAGTAGTACACGCCCCCGATAGTATCTTCACAGTCATCCTTATTCCGATAGTTACAGATAGGTATGTGTGTGTGTATATATATGTGCTGTTATGTATGTATGTCGGTCTGTATGTATGTATGTACTGTATGTATGTATGTATGTATGTATGTATGTATGTATGTATGTATGTATGTAGGTATGTATGTATGTATGTATGTATGTATGTATGTATGTATGTATGCATAGAGAGAACATATACATAGACAGTACACACCACACACTCACTCTCTCTCTCTCTCTATATATATATATATGTATATATACATGTACGGAGACAGAGAGAGAGAGAGTGTGTGTGTGTGTGTGTCCCTGTAGTGCCTTAAGTTGTGTAACATAGGGCTCCTGGGTCACGGTTTAGGTTTTAGGTACTCTAAGGGCCGTAGAAGGCACGGGTTCCTTCCTAAGGATCCGCCTGTCTATTGAATACCTTCGGCTTCGAGGGCTTCCAACACAGGTAACATATGTAGGGTTTAGGGTTTAGGGTTCGAAATAAGTGCCAACATTTATTTGGGGGATTGCTTACTATAGTTCTAGTATATAATGGACCCCAAAACCCTCTTCTAATTATTTTCAAAAGGGTTTTGGGGGTTCCTTATTATAGCTCTATAGTATAATTTGACCCCCAAAACCCTCTTCTAATTATGAAGGCCCTTACATTACTCCAAGTCCGAAGTATTCCATACGCAGGGCAGATGGGCCCTTGTTTGTTCAGGCCGCTATGCCATAGAACCCCTATAGTACCTCTTTTGGTAACCCTTACAGCAACCCTTTGAGAACCCTTTGAAGGAACCCTGACGGTGAAGGGTTCAGGGTCAGGGCTCGCATTCACACTGCAGTTTGGGGAAAGGTTCTGCCGTCTGGAACCCTGCACCTTGAACTTTAACCCTAAACCATAGTATATAAGCCTTTCTTCCAACAACGAGGTCAAAACTATAAAGAGATCTTTTGTAAGGTGAGTTCAGGCATATTCCCTACGTAGTGAACCATCATGAACCAAGGGATTGTGAAGTCTCTGTGTTTTGGCTGGGGACAGCTTCGGGAGCTTTACAGCCTTTGGGAGCTAGGGGCGCAGTGGATGAGGGATTCGGGGTTTCAGAGCTCTGGTCTTCCAGATTTTCAAGGTTTAGGATTTACACCGGGTTTAGGGGTTTTGGGGTTTACGGTTTAGGGTTTGTTAAGGGTTTCGCGGTCAGGTCCAAAAGTATGTTTAACCTAGGATCCTCCTAGTCAAGTCGAATGGTGGGTGGTTGTGGTTTGTCTAATATCGGATTGTCGGGCCGTGCTCAAGGCCTAGTGACAGATTCTAAAGGAGAATAGAGACCTCGAAACCCGGCCCTAAAGACTGTAGACCAAACCTACGATATTCTGAATACACCGAATGCATGCTCTGAGCACTGCTGCACTGTCGTTCTTGGTCCGCGCAGAGATCCGACTAAATCTTCCAAGCGAAACTACTCCAAACCTTCCCGATTTCCCAACAACCTGACGGCCGTTACAATGCTTACAAGGCTCAACACCCGAATTTGCTTGAGCACTCAACATCGATCTTGCTGTATCTTTTAAGGTGCCTACAAGACTCAGAAGCCTGGTGAAAAGTGTGTAAGAACCTGTACGGCAAAGCAGTGTAGAAGCCTTACACCCCAAAGTTCAACTGATCTTGGGCCCAGGAAGCCATCGGGCAGTGGTCCAAGCAGCGAATTGGGGGGCTGAGGATCGACACCTTATGGGTTTAGGGGTTTCGGATACGGGGATATAGGGTTAAGGGGTTAAGGTCTAGGGGTTCAGTGTGCAGAACGATAGGAATTTTGGGTGTAGTATACATAGCACTCTAGCTATTTGTCTGTCGATGTATCTAACTAACTATGTATCTGTCTATCTATCTGTCCATCAATCAATCACTCTATCAATCAATCTTTCTATCTACCTATCTGTCTATCTATCGATATACCTATCAATCAATCAATCAATCAATCTATCTATCTATCTATCTAGCTAGCTGTCTATCTATCTATCGACCTGTCTATCTATCTATCCAATCTATCCATCTATCTATCCAATCTATCCATCTATCTATCTATCTATCTATCTATCTGTCTATCCATCTGTCTATCTATCTGTCGATCTATCTATCTATCTATCTATCTATCTATCTATCTATCTCACGGTCTATCTATCCTATCCTATCCTCTCCTCTCCTCTCCTCTCCTATCCTATCCTATCCTATCCTATCCTATCCTATCCTATCCTATCCTATTCTATCCTATCCTATCCTATCCTATCCTATCCTATCCTATCCATCTGTCTATCTATCCATCCATCCTTCCGCTCATCGATCTATTTATCTACGTATCTATCTATCTATCCCGCAGAGGTATTATAAAAGTGTTGTTTAAATCGTTTATTTAACAGACTAAACTCCACCCCATCCACTCCCTAAACCCCTCCACCCCCCCACCCCCCCGCCCCCCCCTCCACCCCCCACTCCACCCTCCGCCCCCCTCCACCCCTGCACACTTCTCCACACCCCTCCAGACCTCCCTCCACGTAGAGGGGGATCCGTTTATTTAAAAATGGCCTTGGCGGCCCGGGTCTGAAGTTAACGGAGGTACTAGAAAATATTTGTTTGGGTCTTTCATCCAAACATTCGCATATTTTAAAAGAGTCACCGCAGTATAATGTACTAACGTCTAGTTTAAATGTTGTTCCTCAGCTGTAGGTATTTTTAAGTATAATGTACTAACGTCCAGTTTAAATGTTGTTCCTCGACCGCAGGTGTCGGCGGCCATGGCCAACACTCTGCCTATGCGGCCAGCCACTGCTCCAATGGCTCCCGTTTCGCCCACGCTCCCCGTCGTTTCGGGGGGTCTTGGGGTTTACGCTTTAGGTTTTAGGGTAAGGCTTAGCGTTTTTGATTTGGTATTTAATTTGGCCAGGCTTAGTGGGCTTCGAAGTGAGTGCCCCGGCAACGATTCCTTCCTTCCCGTCGTATGGTCTTCTGGAATGGTAGAAAAGCGGGGCCCAGGTTTCGAAACCCGTCGCAGGGTCTCAGGATCGGTTCCTTCCTTCTGAAGGAGGAACCGCCATGTCGGACGTTCCGATGATCATCAACCCATAATACAGTTCATGCCGGAAAAGGCCATGTTGGCCATGGCTCAAGGTTTAGGTTAGGGTTTAGGGTGTAGGGCCTAAGTCCTCAACCATCCCTAAACCCGAAACCCTGAACCCTGAGCCCGAAACCCTGAACCCTAAACCCTGAACCCTGAACCCTAAACCCGAAACCCCGAACCCTAAACCCCAAACTCCAAACCCTAGTCTCTCGTGATCTCAGGCTCGTGCCTGCGGCCCCACCACCAAGCAGGGCCTCGGGGGGCTACGCGGCAGTGCCCTCTCTTGACCTAGAGGCCCCGGAGGGCTCGGGGTTTCATGCTACCGATAGTCTCCATTGTAGTTCCTTTTTTTGGTTTAACCGAATATATATATATATATATATATGTATATATATATATATATGTGTATATATATAGTCAGGATTTTCTAAGTTGTCCCCATAAAAGCACTACAATGGAGACTATAGGTAATAACAAGGAACAACAAAGATGATATCAAATTCTGCCACTAATCATGATAACGTCAACAACAATAATCCGATAACAATAAGAACTACAGTGAAACATATAGATAGAGATAATGGCCGTAGTAAGCATTAGTGGATGATTAAGAGCATTTAAGAACTTAAAAGCTTGCTGTACTTGCAGGTTGATCGTAGTTATTGCCGTTTGTACACCTAAGGCTGACTGCATTATGTCCCAGCTACGGACGGTACTTGGGACCCCGCTCACGGTGTTCGGGGCTTTGGTTTTTTCGTTTGGAGTCTTGGGTTTGAGGTTTAGGATTTGGGGGTTTAGGGTTTAGGTTTAGGTTTCAGTATTTAGGATTTTCGAGCTTAGGCTCTGGGATTGAAGGTTCCGGACCGCAATGGTGCTCTGCTGCAATGGGACAGGAAGGATGTTGTTGTAGTGTTACCTGCATGAAGTTACACGTTGCGCACACTCTGGACGTACGTGTTAAGCTGCGTGCTAGTAGTATCACTCAGTAGTCGAGTAGATAGCCATGAACCTCTTTGAAGTAATCTAATCCATATACAAGCCCGAAGTCAATTTTCGTTTCCCTGAGATGGTAGACAAGTAGGAGCACGCCATATCAAGCTCTCGAAATCCGAAACTGATGCAGAGCGAATTCGCACTGAAGTGGATTCGGGGTCTAGGACGTAGGAGTTTGGTGGGCGTTTTGGGGTTTAGGATTTAGCGTTAGTTTCTATTACTTCTTCAGGCCTCTGTAGTGTGTGGATTCAGCTACCCATTGCATCCCAGGCATCGAAATTCGGAGCACTCCTGAGGGTCACAGTCTAGTTTGACCTTGCTTTTAAGAGCGTTTTTAGATGCTTAACCTTAAAGCCTTCTGCATGCTCATATTGTTGCATGTATACAGTATACATACATACAGATAGATGGACACATAGGTAAGTAGGTGCATACACCAATGGGTAGATTAATGGATGGATGGCTGGAGACATGGAGGGATAGAGGGATGGATGGATGCATGGATGCATGGATGGATGGATGGATGGATTGGATGGATGGAGGGATGGATGGATCCATGGACGGACGGACGGACGCGTGGCTGGGTGGGCGGGTGGGTGGGTGGATGGATGGATGGATGAATAGATGAATGGATGGATTTGAGAGGGAGAGGGAGAGAGAGAGAGAGAGAGAGAGAGAGAGGGAGAGAGATAGAGCCACAGAGCGAGAGAGTGAGAGAGCGAGAGACAGAGAGAGAGCGAGAGAGAGCGAGAGAGACAGAGAGAGAGAGGGGTCGAGAGATAGAGAGATAGTCCCTTCGCCACTTCAGTGAACACCGATCGAATACCACAATCACTTTCTGCGAGAGAAACCTGAAGGCATCCCCGCGCTTTAAAGCCCATTTTGATTTAGCAAAACGCCTTGCGGGAAAAAGGCCGGAAATCATCCCCGCCCTTTAAAACCTTTTTCGAGTTGGGGTTCAGCAGCAAGAGCAGGAGCAGAGCACGAGCAAGAGCAAGACTAGGAGCAAGAGGCAGAGCAGGCGCAAGCTTACGAGCAAGAGCAGGAACAAGTGTCAGAGCAAGAACAGGAGCAAGCAGGAGCCAGAGGGTGGGCAGGAGCAAGAGCAAGACCCCAGTAATACAGGCAGTTGTTCTGGGGTGAGGGGAGGGTGGGGAGGGTGTGTGGCATTTAGGCTATCAAGGGCTAATGCCTTACTATTTCACTACCCGCGGCATCGCCGGCCAGAACAGAACATCCAAGATCGAAACAGGCTTTCAGCCCCTTCCAAGTCCTGAACCCTAAGCCCAAGAGCCCAAAGCTCTAAACCTTAACCGCGCAACACAACCCTAAACTCTTGACTCTAGCCCCCTCGAAGAGATGAACTATAACGTTTCGAAGCCCTTTTAAAAGCCGGAATCGACAATCAAGAACCCTCAGCCAAACCCTTCTAAACCCCTTGTCGTATATCGCCCCAGACAACCGTAAAGAACCCTATCGAACAGCCATATTCAAACCCTTAACAAGCTCCATGTTCTAAACCCCATGCGTACACCCTAAGCCCCATGTGCTGCGACATAGGCTGAGCGGGTTCCTACGGCTCCACGGCTGGACACCCCGACAAACTCCCAGCGCCAGGCGGGGGTAGCATTTAAGTGGGTATTTCGGTATTTCTTTAAGTTAGGGTCCCGTTTCAGGTTCCTGAAAGGGCTCAATAGATGTTCCTATAGTGATCTATAGTGAGGGTCCCTTTCAGGATCCATTTTACAGGAATGCCGGGGACCTAAAGAGGGATCCTAATTTAGAGAACCACCCTATAGTCTCCATTGTAGTTCCTTGCTCTTGGTTAACCAAGGCTTAATTAATTATGGCATCCTAACCACAAACCTCGTTACTCAAGAAGGAACTAAATGTATAGGTGTAGGCTATGATGTAGGGGCTTTAATAATTATAGGGTTTTAGGGGGCTTCCTCATTATAATTCTAGTATAAAATACCCCCCCCCCCAAAAAAAAAACCTTATTCTAATTATTATAAGGCCCCTACAATATAAGGCCCCTATATTAGGTTTAGGGATGAGTTTGCACCGGGGGGTCGATGCGCGGTAGCCTTCGTTTTGCCGAAACCTCAGCCCCAGAACCTTGATCCTTCATCCTTAGGGTTTAGGGTTTAGGGTTTTAGGGTTTAGGGTTTCGGGTTTAGGGTTTAGGGTTTAGGGTTTAGGGTCAAGGGTTTAGGGTTTCGGGTTTAGGAACCCTGGGACCCTACTTGGGCCCCAAAAGTATGTAGAATAATGTCCTTTTATAGCTGTTGGGCCATTATTTTGCACATGTTCAACCCCGACAACCCCATGTCTGTAGTTTTGTGCATGATTCTTTTGGTGGCTGCGGCGGGACGGGCGTGAAGGATCCCTATAAACATTTAGCAGTTACGGGTTTAGGTTTGACTGCTGAGAATTCCACTGAGGGCCCTAGACCCTGACCTGGACCTGGCCCCAAATGTTTGGGAGCCCTGCAAAGCCCCTGCTGAACCCTAATCCCTGCAAAGGCGCACAGTCTTAAACCTTAAAAGCTAGTCCTATTAAGGGCCTAAACTTTTACCAATACTATTTTGCCTTTTCCTTATTATATTTCTGGTATATTATGCCCCCCAAACCGAAATTCTAATGTTTAAGGCTCCTACATTAATAAACCTTGAGGTAATACCTTGCTGCATTGCGTTAGGACCACAAAAGCACATAAGCAATAATTGGGATAGGGATATACCATACAAATCTTGTTGTAATGAAGCCCATCAAGGTAGGGACATCGTCCCAGACCAACAAAGCCATAGGCTCGGATATGCAGGTGATGGGTTTCAATTTTCCAGATTACATAAGGTTCCCCCAAAGGTATCGTACCTGTTGCTCTACGTTTAGTCGTCCGTAAAAGCTAGAACCTGGAGAGAACACTCGCTTTGAAGCCAACCCCAAACGCTGAACTATTCCCTCAAACTGTAAAGCAAGCCTCAAGCCTCCAGGTGATGATGTCCAGGAGCAACCGAAGTGTGCGAAATCGAGTGATGACCACTAGCAAAGCAGAGGTCGAAGCGGTGCCCCCGCTGCTACTCGGATGCAGTCGTCAGCTGCTATTGGTGGGTTGGGGTCAGGAGTTCGGGTGTGAGGTTTCCGGGTGCAGCCGTGGACTTTGGGGTGTAGCCTGTGGTAGCACTGCGAGTCTAGTATAGCAGCCTGAAAAAATAACTATGTACCTGTATTGGATGCCGTTTGAGGCCAAGACATATACTGCAAAGACAGCGTTGTGGTTCTGCACTACAGATCACTACAGTAAACACAAGATCATGAGTGGGTCTGAGTGCGTGCCGCATCCACAAATAGTGCATGAGAGATTCGGGTTCAAGCCTTAGTCACAAGCTTTTTCACTCGTTTACTAGACGACGACGCTTTACGATCAAACATATGAGTTAGATAAGTTTAACTATAATCAGCAACATTAGATGTACAACATACATACATACAGACAGACATGTACATGCGCATGTATGCATGCATGCGTACAGACATACGCTTACACATACATATATACCTACGGGCATACGTACACAGATACATGCATGCACACATACTTACATTTCTGCGTATATACACAAAGCTCACCGTGTTGTAATAAGAGAATATAGGTGACGATTGATTGCACGACATTCGACTTTAGATCATTTAGGTTTCAAATCCCTCAGGTCTGCATCCTTGACGCCGGGGATGACGCCGGTCGCGTTGCATGCGGGTGCAACGCCCAAACCCCGTGGATTGATGATCCTCGGCAGCAAACTCTAGTTAGCACAGATCCCCCTGAACCCTAAAATCCTAGACCCTGAACCCTTTCTTCCGCGTCGGCCAAAGAAGTCGTCCGACTGTCGATTAGCCGTCTGTGGCCACATGGCAGAAGATCACGAGCCATTTGTCGTAGGTAGTCTTAACATCAGGAGCCCTGTAACAGTCCTTGTTTTGAAGGTATTTTTGTATTGGGTGTATGACCGGTAACCCTACCCTGTGGCCTAAACCCTCGACCCTACGGTAAGCTGTACAAACTTTAATTAGGCTGTAACCCTTAGCATCAAAATAGCCCCAAAAGCCATATATAATAGGGTCTTTGGGCCCAAAAGCCTTAACATATGAGTCCTTTGAGGGCAAGGGTAAGTGTTTTCTCTCAGGCCTCAACCTGCATCCATAAACTCCGTATATACCCGTTGGGCCCCAAATTCAATCGGAAGCCATCCAAGATAAAGCGTGCGTTTGTAACCACCGGGAAGCAGAATTCAAAGGTGGAGTGGCTGCAGAGTCTTGAGTACCCCCTCCCAAACCGGTAAGTGTTCCTGTAAGTTTGCATCTTTAAGGTTTAGGCGTTGATGATTCCTCAACCATAAACCCTAAGCCTTAAACCCCTGAACTCCCAACCTAAACCCTGGCCCTAAACCTCCCCTTCTAGGGCTTAAACCCTGAAGCGAGGGTTGATACAGGGCCCGAAATAATTACCAATACTATTCTGGGGGTTGCTTATTATAAGTATACTATCTGTTCTAATTAAATTAAGGCCCTTAAATTAAGGGCGCAGGCTACAGGGAGTAGCCATCTTCGGGCCTGCAGACATAGCTGGGTTGTTTTTTAGGGTTTAGGGTTTAGCCCAAACTAAGCCGGCGAAAGCCTTAGGGTTTAAGGTTTAAACATAGGTTTTTAAGGTGTACCTGTGGCCCAAAAGACTTACTTTTTTAAGGAGCTAGATATAGAAACCATCATGAGCAACCCTGAAAAAGGTAGGTTTTTTTGGCTACAGGCAGGGTTTAGGGTGCTCTTTACCCCAGGCCCCTAAATACCCTAAATACCCTAAACCCCAAAAACCTGAAACCCTACACCCTAAACCCTAAGCCATAAGAACCCCTCAGCCCTTCGAAGTGCCTCTCGGCCTTCTATCACATTCCGAAGAGCTTTAGGAAGCCTGGATATGAAGTATTCATACTTTTCCTGAAGAGCCTTATGACAACTGTAGTGTACTATACCCAAAACCCTAGTGCAATGATTCAGGCTGCTATATTAACCGTAGAGTCCAAAGCCGCTGCCTGTCACTGCCGAGGAATGTTACTGCTTTAGAGCCACTTGGTCGCTCAGAAGACTTTTCTCTTCGATCGTCAGGGTGACGCAACGAATCCACTTGTTCTTCGGAACCTCAATTCCGAGACCGTGCTTCCTCTGACCCAAGCCCCAAACCCGAGACCCACAACCCTGGCCAGTAAACCTTACACCCTAAACCCTAAACCCTAGAATAACAGCCGAGGGCAGAGGCCATGGACAGTACTGGAGCTCAGTTCAGAGGTCTCAGTGGCTTGTCTACACCGACGCGGCCTGGCGGACAAATGTGGTAGGGAGTTTGGGGTTTGGGGGTTCAGGCTTGAAGTTTGTTGGGGTGTAGGGCTCATGTGCTAATACTATCCAATACTGCTTCTGCGCATATGAAAGTATGTGAGCACGACGGTAGCTATGTCGAATCCACAGTGGCCTCTTTGGGAACTCAACGAGTGTGTGTGTGTGTATGTATATATATATATATATATTTCTCCCACATCACCGTAGGTTAAGTCGCAACCCTTCAACACATCCCTGGCAGTCAGCCCCACACTTCAGACTGTTACACCTCAAGATGCCCGATGCCTGGTTGCAAAGCCTAGTTCCGACGCTCTCAAGGAGATCGCGACGCGTTGTCTTCAGAGGACATTACCCAGAGGCTCCATATATTCTACCATTATGGAATTAGGTCCCTAAAGTCATAGTAAGCATAGTCTTTTGTGCTTGATTGCATAATGGTAGTATTTCTATGGAGCCTCTAGGTTATTGACAACTTCTATGGGCCCCCGTGAACTCCTCAACTGTCGGAGCAAAACCGAACACCGCAAGACAAAGAGCCCCTAGAGCCTTTCGTGCACTCCCTACCCTAACCCCAAATAACCTACCTGCTTTAGAACCTGTATGAAGAAATCACAATACAAAAACCTTCAAACGAGTGGTTTTGTCGGGTTCGGCTAAACCCTAACCCCACCTCAGCCCAAATAACTTTCCTGTTTAAGGTCTTGTATCAAGAACTGACATTTAAAGCGCCTTGAAGAGATAGGTTTTAGCAGACCGCTTCGATAGAGGGGTGG